TGGATAAATTATGTCTTAAAAAAAACATTTCTGATGCTCTCAATCTATTGTACTGTCTTTTTAAAAAGGAATCAACTTGCCTTTTAATTAACTTTTAATGCATGAACATATCAATATTGATAGGTAATTTAATCTAAAAATAAAAAGCAAGTCTGAGGAATTAAAATGTATCTGTTAAGACAAGTACAACAAGCTTTATTTTTTTTTGTGCAAAAAATGTTTCAAACAAGTATGTTTGTATGTTTGTCATCATATGAAGTCCTAAACAGTTATTGAACTTTTTCAAGGAAATCAGGTCTACAGTATGTTGGAATTTCAGGTAATGCCGGTAAACTTTCTTCTAAAAATTTCTAGTTTCCATGTATTCTTGAAAGTATTCAAATTTTTCTATTTACCATTCTATATGACCAAATTAGTATTTGGCAAAACGGTACAACAATACAATAGTTGTTGTATTCCCTGTAAAAAAAAATAAAATAAACACTTTATGAGTGATATTAATTCAAATTAACCTAGGTTTATTATTTATCAGTCTATGTAGAAACAAACCAGTCAAAGTAGGTAGCTATTGATGTGTTGTTATGCTAGTTATGACCTTGTTTTGACCACCATGACACAGCTGTCAGCAGTGGAGAAACCAGTGCTTTATTTGAGCCGGATCCTGCCGGAACAAGATCCGGGAACTCTCTCGTTTTGACCGCGTGCGTTCTGGCAACGGATTGCTCGGATCCGGCAATTCAAATCTCCGCCCCAAAAGTTCAAAGTCATTGCGCAGTTTTATTTTGATTATTTATTAAAAATGCAAAGAGAGGAGACGTTGCCCAGTCTGTGGAGTGAATATTACAGCTGTAGCAGGTGCTGTCATTCCCCAATCTGTTACGGAAGCCGAGCCATAGTGTCATCTTATTTGCGCATGCACTAAAAAGTAATACGATAGCCTTTGAATATGCAAGATGAAGGAAAATGTACTAATTTACTTAGAAAAGTACAATCTTAATTGTCTTAAATTTACTTAGAAAAGTACGATCTTCATGTTGCTGATTGACGCCACTCGTATTTCCATTAAAACCATTGACATATTTATGTCATGACCACCAACCTGGGCTGAATGAAAAAACCCTGCAAGATACAGCATGAATTATTTCCATGGTGAAACTTCGTCGCTCCATGGTGAAGCTGCACTACATCACCCTAAAATGTTTTAATTACCTTAAAAATGTGTCTCATATCATTTTAACCAATGGCGTAAATATGTCAATGATTTTAACTGAAATACGAGTGGTGTAAATTAGCAATATGAAGATCGTACTTTTCTAAGTAAATTAAGACTGTTCTTATTTATAAACAGAATTATAACATTGTCTAGGAAAATTAATCAATTTATAGAAAGAGATATTTCAATTAATATTAATACATATGGTATGTTTCATAAATATATATTTTTTAATATGTGTTGTATTAAATCAGCTTACAGGATATTTCCAGTACATTTTTCTTAATCTTACATATTCAAAGGCGATCCGTGCGACCTGGAAGTATTACTTTTAGCGCATGCGCAAATGAGCTGACACTACGGATCGTGCTTCCGTAACAGATCAGGGAATGACAGGTGCACCAGCTCGCGCACACGCTCCTGCCCAGCAGAGACGTGGACGGCATGTCCCGTGGGGATGAAGTGTTTTCATTCATATGGCAAGCCAAATGGCCCATTAATAACCAGACGTGTGGGAAAAGTGGCAATTAATGGCCCTCTTGGCTTGCCATACTTCACACGCAGGAGCATCTCCAGACAGCTCTACAGAGCACACACACAGCTGCTGATGTGAACTCACTCATACGTTTCAGACAATGTCGAAAAGACAGTCCAAAAATCTAAAGTACCATGTTTTGGCCTTACCCACTCTAAATCAACACTGGTTTGTTAATTTTCCTGTCAGTAATTATACATACCTATCCTGGAGAGACTTGGACTCAGCTTCTCTGCAGCCAGTGACGGTCCTAACCAATGAGAGCTCCTGCAAACATGTTTCTGCCTGGAGACAGAAACTAAAGAATTTGATTGGATGACTGTGTTTTCATGGATTAAAATGTTTCTTGCTCAACTTCAAAGTAATTACAAAATGCAAGAGAAATTAGTGACAAGTACAAAAACTCTATTGGAAATATAAACTTTATATAAAATAATTTAAACATTTTAATGTATTATTTCATATGTGCTGAATTCCTAGGCCGCCTTCAAAATCCTAGAAGGCCCTGCAGGTTCTTCACTAACTGTCAGGCTGAAATTGTCTATCACCAAAAACAGTTTTATAGAAAGTTTTATAAAAGCCTTTGCTTTAGGAAAAAATAAATACAATTCTACGTGGTCACAAATGCCTTTTGACACTTTATGAGCTTGTGATCCATAATTCACCGGCAGAAATGAAGAGGTCATTTATGCAAAAACATGAAAATGATATTTAAAAAGTGGCGATACAAGGGTTTGGGGCCAACAGCAAAAATATTATAATAAAGATAGATAGAGAACACCATAAAAGTCATTATATTTATGGTACTTTACATTTTTCTGCATTAGCGAGCAGACCACAACACAACACAACACACAAACACACACTCTGATGCATTGTTTCCAGGAATTATTCACTGTGAAGTGTAAAGTAGATCCATTTACTTCTTCATAAAGTACAGAGCCAGTAGTTGTTAGGCTTCAGTAATTATGTATGAGAGATTCAGGATCAATAATGGATGTGTTCTGCAACACTGTGTGGATTGATTCTCGCTGAGCCCCGGCTTCAGAATGGATGACACACACAGGAGTTACTGTATGTACTCAGCTTTGGTGTCGTCTTTAAATGTCACATCATCATGTGCCTTGCCATCCCAATACGTTTACTGCTGTTTTATTAAAACTTGACTGGTGTGCAAGTGTCAGTTCAGCTCTGAGCTTTGAAGCAAATGCTTTTAAAATATTGGATTTTCTTTGTAGCAGTTTGTGGTGGCTGCTCCTGAGCAAGGTTGTACCAAGCAGAAAATCAAGTTAATCAAAAAGGATAATCAACATGTAAGAGGAGAGATGCAAGCTTTCCGTCCTGCAGCGTCTGTGTTTTGATTAATTCTGTGGCTTTCCATGAAGCAGATTTGGCAGCTGTGACTCAGCTTGTGCGGTGCCATGTCCCCGAGGCTGTCTTTTTGGAGAGCATCGGCCAGGAAATCACCTTCATACTGCCCTACAGTGGAGCCAGAGATGGGACTTTTTCTGCTCTCTTCCAAAAGCTTGACCTGGCTATGGCTGACCTTGGCCTGACCAGCTACGGTATTTCTGATACCACACTGGAGGAGGTAAACATTTGGGGTGTGGGAGTACAAACTCCTACAGAGTGGTTCCAACAAAGATGAAAGGAATATGTCTTTATGAATTTGTATTTTATCACTATGTTAAACTGATTTTTCATCTAGTGACAGTATCTTCTAGTTATAGCAATGAAGAATAGATTTTTTTCTATATCCTTTTATGGTTGATCCCTTGTATTTTCTTCATCTTTTACATTTTTTTTTCTGGGGGGTGACTTTTATCTATTAAAATATACTCATACAAAAAAAATCTAAAAAGCCAGAAGGAATGGTTCTATTCGTATGTAATTTGGTACCCATGCAGACCAGCAATTGGTTTGTAAATCATATGATTTGCAAGAAGCTGACATGTTTTGAGTGAGTACCAAATGTCACGCATGGTGGCATCAAGAGTGGAGTGATAGTGCTATCAGGCTGTTGTTGGAACATCAGTCAAAACAGTGAGTGACGTTCTCAAGGCACAGAAGGCTTGCATTACTAGATGAAGTCTGAGGTTGAGTTTGCATCTGACCTGGTGGTTATTTTATCCACCTGGAGAGAACAAATGTCATAGTGGCCCGATGTTGGACTCAAGGAGGGCACTCACATACATAACATGAATGTTCTGGCTGCCCAAAGTCAACTACACCAATGAAGGGTTAATATATTATATACCCAGCATGACCTAACCCCATTACATTTTTACCTGTGTTCTGGACATACACATTGGACTCTTTACCATACCATACCATTTTATTTATAGAGCACTTAAAACAGTGACAAGGCCAACCAAAGTGCTGTACAGACAGAACAACAGGTAACACACAAAGCAAAATACAAAATGAAGTAAATCAGAAATATAGACATAAAAACGATGCAGATAATGACGACTAACCAGTGTGGAGCATACAGGTTCAAAACACAGATCATCTGGTGTTGAAAGCTTTAGAACACTTTGTGTCATCCCGCATCTTGTCTTAACAACTACCATCAACTGGATTATGAATTCACCACCCCATGTCTAGGCTGCAGAGAAAACATTGAATTTATGTGGATAGATTAGTGGATCATCAATGGATGAGGAACACTAAACCACCAAAGTGTCATAAAATGGAGACATGGGTTGATGATGAGCTGCATCATATCCTAGTCTATGATGACAGTTGGATTGATGAATCTACTACAAATGGCCACAGTGTGTTGTTGTTACAGTGCCCAGGAGAGAGGACCAGTCCTGTTTATGTAGGGGCAGCTGTGGCTGAGTGGTTAGAGCAGTTGTCCTCCAATGTGGGAGTTGGGGATTCGGTTCCACCAGCAGTCACATGCTGAAGTGTACCTTAGCAAGACACTGAACCCCTCATTGTCTCCGATGTGTGTGCCATGGGTGTATGAATTATGGGTTCATGGGTGTGGGCGGCCGTGGTGCAGTGGTAGTGGCAGCCGACCTCTGATCGGAAGGTTGGAGGTTCGAATCCCGACTTCCCACACCATGTGCCGTTGTGTCCCTGGGCAAGACACTTAACCCCGAGTTGCTCCCGGTGGGACTGGATGGCGCCTTGCATGGCAGCCTACCGCCACCGGTGTATGAATGTGCGTGTGAATGGGTGGATGGCTGGTACTGTAAAGCGCCTTGGGGCCCCTCATAGGGGGCTGGAAGGCGCTATAGAAGTAAGCTCCATTTACCATGAATGTGATAAAGCACTGATTATTCTTTGTAAAGGTGTAGTAGAGCACAATGAACACTACTAAATGAATGAGCACTGAATGAGGGCACAGATTATAGTGTAAAGCACTTTGAGTATCTTGATCAAATAGAAAGGTGCTATATAAGTGCAGTCCATTTACCATTCATGTAATAGAGTGTTACTTACCTCACCATACTGTGGTGATCTATATGGTATAACTTGAGGTCATCTCTGGTAGTGACCCTGACTTTCAGTGCTACAACAGTGACATCCTGTGTTTGGCATGTCTTAACCCTCCTGAAACTGCCCCTGGTACAGTCTTTCATCAAGACAACACCTGTTCACATGTTTATGACCTGCCTGACTCATGTTGAGGTTCTACCATAGTCAGCCATGTCCCCAAATTGTTCCCCAAACAAATGCGTGTGAAATCAACTTGGACATTTATATGACCCAGTGTCAATCTGCTAGCTCTTTCAATGACCAGTTTCAACAGCTGTAGGCCAACTTGTGCAGGAGAGAAACAACTATTGTGTGATTCTACTGAATTGCCATTTGTATCCAGACCTGAGGTTTCCACACCGTACTGACATGGAATCAGCAGCGCACTTGTACTGCCATTTCATATTCATTTATTCTCATACTGCAATCATTGCAATAATGTCACATGACCTTTCAACACACATAGTGTTATTGTATTTGTGCCACTCCACCTGGGTGCACAGCTTTACTTTATTGTAGGCTTGCACAATCCCTTTCACAAGTAAGGCAAAATAATTCAACCACGGGATACAGTATTGATTTTCACATCTTTTAGGCGAATAATCAAAGCCATGGTTGGCTCCGCTGCAAATAAGTTTATTTATTTATTTATTTTTTTCAGAAATTGAGGTACTTTGAATGACCTCTTGTGGTTGACTTCAATAATGTTTTCCCTTTAGGAACAACACTGTTTTGGCAGTTTTCCTACAACGTGTTTTTAATTTAATGAGTTTTATACGTTGCATATTTCAGCAGTTTGCATCATGTTGCTGTCACGGGTTTCATTTTATTTTTATTTTGAGGTTATTTTCCTAACCTGACATGTTTTTGACAGTATTCAAGCATTATTTTCCCTGTAGTTGAACAAGTTTAGATTTCTATTATGACTTAAACTAAAGCAAATAAATATGATCTGCTAACATTATGGACCCATTTGTTTCCACATTTGTTTAAATTGTGTTCTAGAGGTTGAATAAAAAGTGGTTGCAGCATTATTTTTTAATAATTATCTGTATAATTTTGTTATTTTTTCTTACATAAATGACTTGTTTCTATGTGACACCAGACTAATGTGGGTTTATAACCATGAGTAGCTGAAGTTTAAGGCCTTTGTTGTAACTCAGACACTCTCAAGATGCTCATAGCCTGCAAGCAAAGTGAAGAATTTTATAAAGTTCAACTATGACAGATTTTTTAAATTTAAATGCTTTTTTGTTTTTGAAAAGAGAACATACTGCTGTTAAAGTATGCAGTGATTTTCACAGATTTTAAGTAAATGTGAATAAACAAATAAATAAATAAATGGGAAGTGGTATAAAATTTTGTTCTTTAATCAAATTTACTATATTTTATTCTTTTAGGCATCTGCATTTCAGCATTTTACACATTTTTTATTTATTTATTGAAGACTAGCCCATAAAATAACATAAAGTGACAGTCAGGTGTTTTTGTAACACAACTTTGCAGTTTTCACCAACATCTACAGTTTATTTTTTTATTTTTTTGTACAACTTCTGCAATAATAACCATTAAACATAAAGCCAAATCACAGATTTTACTTTTGCATTATATGGAAAACATGCATATAATACTTTTACATAATTAAAAACATTCAAGCATAATTTCTTTCTTTTTTTTAAAGATATTCCTGAAAGTGGCAGAAGACACTGAAGTAGATGCAGAAATACCAGGTAAGATTGCAAAAGGTTGCACATAAAATGGAAACATCATCTGGTTAAATTTAATAGACTGTTTTATAATTAGTTCTAAACATTGTACGTTGTACTTTTAATTTGAAAGATTTAATACTATCCACTCCATAAGATTTAAACATTTTTTCATTCATTCAACCTTTATTTAGACAGGTAAATCCCATTGAGCCTTGAGGACTCATTTACAAGAGACCTGATTTCAACAAAGAATGATAACAATGGACAACAGTGACAACAATAAACAGTTATAAAAAGTCATACAATTTTTTTAAATTTTTTTTTTTACAAATAGGATGGCTAAAAAAAAGAAAAGTAACAAAAATCAGCTAGATTCTAAGGCGAATGTAGAAAACTAAAAACAGGAACATGTCTGCATTGGTCCTTGCCAGGAGTCCAACAGATTCTTAAAGCCACTTAGAGGTCAAGGTCGAGAGCTTCAAATCTTTTTGTAAGATATTCCAGGAAACAGGAGCGGAGTAGGAGAAGGCCCTTTTGCCTAGTTCAGTCCTTACTGAGGGAACACTGCAGGTAATAATGTCCTGAGTGCGCACACTGTGGCTGCACTCACGTAAAGACATGTAGGAGGAGATGTATCAAGGCAGCAGACCAAGAAGTGATTTAAAGATGAAAATGTACCAGTGGGAGAGTCTGCGTGAAGTTAATGATGTCCAGTTAACCAGTGAATACAGGGTGCAGTGGTGGGTACGATAATCACAGCCAGTTATGAATCTCAGTGCACCATGATAGACAGCATCCAACATCTGCAGGGTTCAGTTCATTTTCTTAGATAAGCTACAATTCAAGCATTAGTTAAAAAGGTAGCTGACAATTTTTTTTTTTTTTTACATTATTGAAAGATAAACACTCCTGTATTGCCCCAGAATTCAGCCTTGGGTACTTGAGCCACACATAATTAGCAACATAAACCATGTGCCGGCTAAACCACATGCTAGCTTAAAAAAATTGCTTTCATGTTTGAGGCAGTGCTTATTACTAATACAACCAATTTGTTACCGTGAACACAAAATATTAATATTGTAATGCATGCAAATGGCCATTTTGGATTTTGATCTGGCGACCCAGTTTTCGTAAAGAAACTTTCGTACACCTAGATGCAGCCACACACCAAAATGGAAGTCGGTATCTCACTTTTTTTTCAAGCTATTGTGCTCACAAGATTCACAAATGGATGGAAGTTATTTCCAATTCTCCCTTTCCGCTCCACAACGGGGGACAAAAAAGAACGAGGGGTGATGGTGTTAAATTTGCAAACAGATAGAACGTTGTATTAGCAATCTTACATTTTGATCACAGTGCTATTGAAGTATGGGCTCAAATGTGGAAAAATAACTTCATTTTTTAAAAGAAAATAAATCCTACTTTGTTGTCACCAGGTTTTTCTTGCACTAAACCATTCAAAGAAAATACTCAAAACACCCAGAGTCTTTAAATATTTTTAAAATAAAGCTGTACAGTGGTGGCAAGGACAGGGGAAAAAAATAATCTGAAAATAAACAGACATTCTGACAAGGAGTGAAAAAAAAATGAAGGTCTAAGTGGCGCTGAGGTTAAACGGATAAGAAGAAAATAGATTTGGTAATTGGAATAAGGGAGAGAAGGCAGGATGAAAGGCAATTCACAAATTAAAAAGCACATAAATGGTAGTTTTGGGTAGATTGGAAAAAATGCATACATTTTATAACAACGTTGGGATTCCACAGGTATCCGTTACACGTTTGTGTATTCATACTTACCAGTCCTTGTATTGACACACTACTGAGTATAAATGTTTTCATTAAAATATCATTTTTTTCACTTGATACTTTCCTGGGGCTGACCTGCCATCAAATCATCCTAAAGTATTTTTTGTTTCGGTCTGTTGCCAAAGAACTTCCCCATTCAGTTTATTAGATGCGCACCTGAAACACCTGAGTTTGTGCTTTTACGTGGCATGAAATGGCATCTCACAAGCTAGGGAGCTATTCTTATTGTTATTTATATCCCTAAATTGGGTCAGGCCAAAACAACATATCTTATTTGTATTCCCACAGCAGCAAAGGAGCCGTTGGTGAGGGACTGGAAGAGAAGCTCCCGCAAATCGAAGAGAAACAGCATCGCCAGCGTCCGCAGTAAAATGGAGCACTTCAATGGGATGAGTGGCACGTTCTTCCACATTCGTTTACTTTTTTATATTACTTTATAAAGAAAACTCATTTATTGTGACTGTACCTAACAATAAAGCACAAGCTAAGATAGAAAATAAGTTATAGTTGCTGATAAGTTTTTTTTTTTGTTTTTTTTTGTTCTTTCAGATTTAAAGGAAAGGTTTTCCAGTAAAGTGGCAGGTATGTCCTGTGTTTGCCCTTATTGGCACTGTTGTTTTACAGTGGGTGTTTAATACTTTGAACACCTGTCTGATTTTATGAGTTTGCCTACTTGCAAAAAAGAACAGTCTAATATTTATGGTAGGTTCATTTAATTAGAGATAGATTATTGATTAATATCCTTGAAATTCACATTACAGTAGCCCCTCGTTAATCGTGGGGGATCCGTGCACTGCAGACCTGCGGTGCTAAATGCAGGTGCTAAGTTATTTTAAATAAAAATTCTATTTGATCATGCGGCTCATCCATCAATCAGCCAATTGTGTGTCATATCCACTCTTTGGAAAAACCGTAATAGAGCGAGTTCACGATAAACGAACCGCGAAGTAGCGAGGAACTACTGTACATGAAAGTTCAACTTGATCAACTCGATCTGTTATGTCTGGACGAAGAGGAATGTTGAGTGTAACCAGAAGAACACTATCTCCATGGTCAAGCACAGACAGACCCCACACTGTTTGGGAATGTTTTTCTGCTAAAGCTACAGGACTATTGAACTGCTTCAAGAGGTGAGCAGATCAAGTCATGTAACTTAAAATCTTAATAAGAACCATCTTTCCTCCACCAGATCACTGACTGCGTTGTGCTTGGGTTTTCCAGAATGATGGCACAGTTGGGAGAGCTTGCCTCACAGCAAGTAGCTCACTCTGGTTCAAATCCCAGCCGGGGGCCTTTCTGGGTGGAGTTTGCATGTTCTCTCCGTGCATGCATGGGTTTTCTCCAGGTACTCCGGTTTCCTCCCACAGACCAATAACATGCATGTTAGGCTGATTGGTGACTCTAAATTGTCCCTTGGTGTGAGTGAGAGAGTGGGTTGTTTGTCTCGTTTGTCTCTGTGGCCCTGTGATGGACTGGAGACCTGTCCAGGGTGCACGCTGCCTCTCGCACAGTGACTGCTGAACATGGGCACCAGTGATCCTCGCGACCCGAAAAGGAAGAAGCAGGTAAAGATAATGGATGGATGGATGATGACCCAAAAACGCACTGCTGAGGCAACAAAGGACTTCCTAAAATTTGTGGAAAATTCATCCATCCATCCATTATCTTTACCCACTTCTTCCATTTTGGGTCACGGGGGTCGCCGGTGCCCATGTCCAGCAATCACTGTGCGAGGGGCGGGGTACATCCTGGACAGGTCACAAGTCCATCACAGGGCCACATAGAGACAAACAAGACAAACAACCATTCACACTCTCACTCACCCCTAGGGACAATTTAGAGTTGCCAATCAGCCTAACATGCATGATTTTGGTCTGTGGGGGGAAACTGGAGTACTCGGAGAAAACCTGCGCATTCATGCAGAGAACATGCAAACTCCACCCAGAAGGGCCCCCGGACCGGGATTTGAGCCGGGGACCTGCCCACTGAGAGGCATCGGCTCTACCAGTTGCACTACCATGCTGCCCCAAAATTAAACAGTTAGAAAATAAATTAAAAAAAAATAAAAATCCAAGATTTATTTTTCACTGTAACTTTATTTAGGATAGTTTCAGTTTTCTTAAAGCCACAGACCTAAAACATTAAAAAAAATCCACGTTTCTCACAGTGAATCTCACAAAAGGTCTGTTATCCAACATATAGGCTAAAAAATAAATCTTTCAACACTGATTAATGACAGAGTGCTGTTGGCCATATTAACTCCTGAGCTATTTTTGATGATACCATTAGGGGTGCTGAAAAAGCGTGCTCAGCATATCTTTCACGTAGATGCATAGATGATAAATAACAGCGCACTTTATTGCCCATGCCAGATTGTAAGAAAAGTGCAAGCATCAATGGAAGAGGATCCATGGTCATCACTGGGTGGAAGCTGATCAGAAGGCAGTTTCTGGCACTCTTTATCAAGCGCTTTCACCACGCCCGAAGGAGCCGCAAGGGACTCATTGCACAGGTAATGGCCTCCGTTTGTCATATTGATGAATTGAAGGGTTACACTGGCACAGTTGCATGGGAGGGATCAAAGTAGGATTGTGTGAAATACACACATTGGCTTCCAAAATCAGTTAGTGACATATATGATAGAGTGAGATCATTTAAACTCAGGGGGGAATACATTCATCTCAGTGTAGTCAATAGTTGGTGGGGTTTAAGTTGCTTGAAAAGAAATCCGTGGTGAAAGCAGAACATAAAGCACTGAAGAATGAAGAGCAGAGTCTGGAATGATGTAACGTCAGGAAGCTGCATCTGCAACAATCATCTTCATTTCCTGGGGCATGTGTCGTACAAGAAGACACTCGGGAGACAAAAGCAAGCCGTCCTCCGTCTCAATAACGGAGCAGAAATTTTTCAGCATTACATTTGCCCTTTGAAACTACAACACATTTGGTTAGCCATGAAAGCTGCTGACAGATGTGTGTGTATATTGATGAAAAGTGCTCCATAACTTTCATCTGACCACTAAAAAAACCCTGACACTTGTGATTTGTCTGTCCCTCATTTTATCCTACGCTAATAATGTGTTCTGATTAGGGGCGTATCAACAATTACGCAGATGACATACTTCTATTAGCTCATTAGTTGTATGTCTATATTATTTTGTTCTTTATAAACGTAATTTCAAAAGTCAGAACTAATAAAGAGACATAATTTCTGCAAGTCAAAACCAATTTAGACTTGTTGCTATTTTTGAAGCATTGATTCATTTTGCCACGTTCGAAACAGTGCCTAAGATTGCCGTGACTTGCTTATTGTCCTTCATCTACCTTCACATTGTGTTTGTAAAAATCAAGTAATGACATCAGTTTTCATACGTACCATTATTCAGAATTAATTATAATTGAAATTGAGCATCCTTGCCTGTGTTGGTGAACCATGGAGCGATTGAAAGAGAACAGGATTTCACCTTTGATAGGTTCCTCCTGTAATTTGCTGCAGTACCCATCCCCATTAGTCACTGTCAATCTTGGACGTCCCTCTTTATTGGGAACACAGAGCAGGATAGTTGGGTGAGTGTATGAGCGTCTCAGTACAAGGTTGCATGTCGTCCTTCTTCCTTTTTACTCATTTGACTATAGGTACCTCTTTTCCCTCTCCATTATCTCCCATTGTCAGTAAATTTGATTGTGTAGTGACGCAATCTCTTTGAATGTAAGCTTTCATTGGAATTTAAAAGTGATTCTGGCATGAAGCACAAAAGGAGTGATGTATGGGGCTGGAAGTTTTGCAAAGGCAGTTCTTGATCTTGTCAGAAATGCCAAGCAAGGGTTATTTGTTATGTTGTGGTGAACGAGTTCAAGACTGCAATGTCCCATTCAAGTGTGAGCACACGTTCTCTTCTTGGTCTAAAGAGTTGCAGTGACATGCAAGGGTTTTGGCACCCAAGGTAAAAATGTATGTTGCTAAGTTCTTCTTCTTTGCCCAGTTTCTAAAAAAAGTTAGCGCCTAGCCTTGAAAGATTGCATATTGTCCTCTACTAATGTTAGGCCATGACTGTTTGCCATCTACTAACACAAATATGTAAAAACTTAAGGGATTATCTGACATAAGCTGGATGGAACTCACACATTGGAATGTTTGACAACAGGTGTGTTGATTATTAACAGGTGGTATGTGAGGAGCTGAAAACAAGGACCATGGGGCATATTTGGTGACAATTGAAGGTACAACAAACCAAAAACAAGAATCTTATTGAATAACTAAATAACCAAAATAACAAAATATACAGTAATTGAAATAAAACAAGAAAAAGTGCTTAAAAATGCACAAAAGAGTAAGATGATAGAGACTGTGACATAAGCTACCAAAAGTTTAATGGTCAAGCAATCCTTGAAGAAATGCTTATCACCACCTTTCATGTGAGAGTTTTAAACAGAGATAATCTCATGTTGGGAAATCTAGAAGTTGTTACCATTTGGATTAAACCTTGAAAATAATGTTATGCAGTAATGTCTAATGTCATGCTAAGATTTTATGTTGTACATTACTCCCAGCTACTACCACATCAAATTTTAGCTCACTATCTATAAAAATGACTGAGTTGTTGCCAATTGTATGTTTGCTAATTTTGTTTAGCTGTGACGGCCATATTGAATTATTTTTGCAAGGTTTCAATACAATCTGTTGAGTGGTTCATGAGATATGTTGCTAACAGACAGACATGGTTGACTGTAACAGTTTATGTTAGTTTTACACAAACCTCTTTCACAGTATGTAGCTCTTACATTCATATACATAAAAAGTAAATTAATAACAATATTCATCTGAGGAGCAGACTGCTTTGAGTTTAACTCCATTGCACTCTATCGTCTGGAGCAAGCACAGAGACAACAGTGGAAAGTAAAGACTCCCTAATGAGGAAGAAACCTTTAGCAGAACCAGTCTCAGGACAAGTGGTCATCTGCTTCGACCGACTGGGTTTGAGAGGAACAGGAAGGAGGAACAGATACACAATGGCAGGTCGAGAATCACATGTTAAGATAGAAATAGTATCAAATGAAAACTATCCAATTTTAACAATTCATTTCAGGAAATGAGGTTAATTTGTCCTCTAGTAGTCTATGCCTATTAGGGTTAGGGTTGGCATAACAACCCAACCCTAATTATAGTATTTATCAAAAAGGCAAGTCTTAAGCCCAGTCTTAAAACTGGACAATGTGTCAGCTTTACAGACAGAAACTGGAAGTTGGTTCCCCAAGAAAGGAGCCTAATAACTGAAAGATCTTCCTCCTATTCTCCTCTTGGAAACTCTAGGAACCATAAGTAAGTCTGCAGTCTGAGATCAAAGTGCTCCGTTAGGAAAATATGGAATAATAAGATCTGTAATATAAGATGGAACTAGGTTGTTGAGGAATTTGTAGGTTGGAAGTAAAATTTTGAATTCAATTTTGGACTTGACGGAGCCAGTGGAGAGAAGCTAAAACTGGAGAGATATGATCTCTCCTACTAACTCCCATTTAATGGGAGTTAAGAGTAGGGCTGGGCCATATCATATCGTTCACGATAATACCAGTAAAAAAAAAAGCTTGCCCGGGCAAATAAATAATATCATGATATGCTAATTTCATGATGTAATACATCAAGCGCCCCGCCCTGTTAACAGAACCGAGCACACTGAACGACCATACCGAACTGCGCACCGCCCCTCCACCTGTCGGTACTGGTGTAACGCTAATTAGTTGCGCGCAATACTAGCTAGCTAAAAAGCTAAAAACAAACAATGCGCTGCTCAGCTGTCTCTCCATCCAGCTCTAAACTGCAGGTACAGACAACTCAACTGTCTCTTCCTCCCTCCACACTCCGCTCTGAACTGCTGGTGCGGGCGCAGCTTTCGGCTGCGTCTCCCCCACTCTAAACTGCTGGTACAAACAAGCGCAGGTCTGTCTCTTAGTTCCACAGTCCATGGACCAAGAACAGTCAGGTGATCAGAGACAGATCAGTCAGAAAAAATGAAATCATTCCTGTGAGGAAGCTGAAACATCACAAGCTTCATGGTCAACTGATCACCTTGTCAAGTTTTGGAAGTTATAGCTCATTTAAAGGCAACATGTATGTATGTTACATTTATGCTCAACAGATCTTAAGCTTCATTTTATTCAGTTATTTTGGGAAACTGCACCTGCCCTTTAGTTTTTTGTGGTGGATTTTGTTGATCTATATTTTGTGCAGACTTTTTCAATCTAAATAACAGAAGAATCATTTTTATTTTTATACTTGGAGACTGAATACTTTACTAATTAAAGTAATTTCAGTAAAATTAATCCTTTTTTTTTTTAGTTTTTATATAATACTGCAAAGCAATATGTTAATTTAATTTTGTCAAATGAATAACTATGATTTCTGTATTTTTTTTGTTATATCACATAATTTATCGTTATTGCCAGAATGCTCTGAAATATCACGATATTATATTTGAGCCATATCGCCCACCCCCAGTTAAGAGTCAAACTTTAGTTAACTTTCATTCTTAAAAAATGAATCCCTTGTAGATGCCAACCCAATGAATAATTTCCAAAAGTTACAAGAACATTCATTTTATATTTTGCTAAAAGTACCTACAAGCAACCCTGTTTAAAAAAAAAAAAAAAAAAATCATTATTGCTCTGCATTCACCTCCAGAGGCCAGAGATAATGAGGTGTCTTGACATTGTCAGGTAAAAAAAAAAAAAAGAATAAACATCTCTATTACGTTGTAGTGTTTTTGCTCAGTTTGCATCTAATCCAATTCTTTTGTTTAAGTCCCCACTAAACTTAAAGGAAGGTCTAAACTCCTGCATTGTTCTTGGAATTGCTTTGACTTTGTGAGCGTAATGACTTCTCCCGCCTTTTCTTCCCTTAGATTTCTTTCACTGGCAGACACACCAGCTGTCACCTGCAATTACCGGAGAGAAAAAGGAAAAACGAGAAGAAAAGGGGCGAGCAAACAGAACCAAAATAGTTTCTTTTTTGTGCTCTGCCATTAAAGCTTTTTCAGCCTCGTCACTGCTCTTTATCACAATTTTCAATTGTGGCAACTTCAATTGGCCTTGCAAATTGCATGCACCGCAATTAATCAAGTGTACGCAAACCTCCCCTTTAACTGCTGAACAGAGCCCACCCTCTACGAATGATTAAATAGTAAAGATATCTTGCTTTTTCTTTTGTCGTTTTTTTTGTTTGTTTGTTTCCTGCTACGTTTTTGTCAACCCGCACAATGTAATGAAAGAAGACTTATATGAAAAGGGTTGGATGAGATGAGGAGGTTAGCGACGACGGTTTCTCTCTTCTTCTTTTTTGTTAAATAACAAGATACTAAAGAAAGGCGAGAAACTAATTATATGAGTGGCCAGATGACGACGGTTGTGTAGCACGTTTAATCAAACTCATAAAGCATGCAGGGGAGTCCAAACAAGTCGGCGGGGAGCATATTAATGTGTCCGTGTTATTGCGTTGGTCCTGTGTTATTGTTAATTGCATCAGCCGTTTTTTGCATTTTGTTGCATGTAATGGCAGTGATGGGGGGCTCGGGGATGGAGTAATGAAACTGGTATCTCGTTAACTGCAGGAATGTTTTCACACATGTAAACAGGGATTTGTGTCAACATCCAGATGTGGCATAAAGATGGCCGCTTTTCCCCAATATTTTAGTGAGGACAGCTCTAATTTTATCCTGTACTATTACTTTGTCACTGCGTGGTCCTAAAATGAATCCAGCTTGTTTCTTATGATAAAAGGTTTAACTTAAAAGCAAATAATGAGTTTTTCTTTCTCTATGGGTTCTCTAGATCTAGAAAGTTTAAAATATTCACAGTTTGTTGTGAGTAAGAACCCAAACATAGGTAGACAAGTCAAGTCAACTTTATTTATAGAGCACATTTAAAACAGGAGCTGTTACCAAAGTGCTTAACAATAACAACAATGAGAGTAAAATTAATGGGGAAAAAAAATGCTGGAAGAGGGCCGGCACTGGAGGAGGGGGCGTTAAAAAAGAGACCGTCTTAGCACCAACATAACTGGTTTGTTCCACTTTGGAGTAAGCTGTTGGGAGAAGAATCAGTTTTGTGTTGTGTGTTTCCTTGACTGATGAAGCCTTCTGGATGGAAGGTGAAACATTTCAGCACACAAAAAAAGAAACTGTCCAGATGACCTGACTAAAAATTGTTGGATTGTATACCTGGATTATTGAGCATGGACTTTGTTGGTTTTGAACCAGTTTGACATGACTGTCAACAAGGGAGCAGGCCAGCACTGGAGGAGGGGGCATGCCAAAGAGACCATCTTAGCACCAACATAACTGGTTTGTTCCACTTTGGAGTAAGCTGTTTGGGGAATAATCAGTTGTGTGTTTCCTTGACTGATGAAGTCTTCTGGATGGAAGGTGAAACATTTCAGCACAAAAAAAGAAACTGTCCAGATGACCTGACTGAAAATTGTTGGAACATTAATGATGGTACTAAGAATTAAAAACATTGAATAAAAACATAAAGAAACACAGAACAAAAATACTAAATCAACTCACACTGTGTGAAATGCCAGAGAAAACAGATGTGTTTTTCAGAGATTTGAACACAGGAGGTTGGGGGACAGGTTGTTTTAAAGACCCCAGAGGGAGCAAATAGTGAGAATGGAAGGAGTCCAAGAATTGAGCCCTGTGGGATCCCGTAGGAAAGAGGCATTGAAGCAGATACATTATTACCAATCTTGACACAAATACTCCTGTCACTCAGGTATGAGCAGAATCATTCTAATGCAGCATGTGTAATCCCAGCCCACTGTTCCAACCACAATATAAGGACACTGTTGTCAATGGTATTAAGGTATAAAGCAGGTTATGGGGTTATTCCAAAAAATAAGTTCAGCAAGTTCATCAATAAACTTTGAGTTGACCTGCTTCTAGAAAAAATAGTTTTTGGTTCCAGAACATCCACGTTTAAGGAAACACTAGAATAAATGCTCCCACCTTCTCTCTTTGGGAACTGAAGCCAGAAAGATCCTGTTTATGGGAGTTGTAATGTTGTATTTTGAGGCCATAGTCTCCGCACCACAGATGATAGGCTTTATTAATGTTTATTTAACCAGGCAAATCCCACTGAGATCATAGGTCTCTTCTGCAAAGTAGGCCTGGGCCTGAAGGTAATGCATGTTTTTGGACTGTGAGAGGAAACCAGAGTACCCAGAGAAAACCCATGCAAACACAAGGACATGTAAACTCCACACAGAAAGGGCACAGAAGCTGATTTTGTTCCTTCAACATTCTTTCTGTGAGGCAACAGTGCTAACTACTAAGCCATCATGTTGCCGTGCTGCTTTAAGTCCTGCCTACTCCCTCATGCACAATTGTGGTGTCACATAACCTTTCTTTTAAGCATGAAATAACTAAATACAACTAAACATATTAGAAAACATAAATATATACAGAAACAAGATAAGTACTTTATGAATCAACAAGGGTCAGCACCATCTGTACCCACTTCAACTTCCACGTTTCTGTACAGTGTCTTATATGTCTGTGTTCCCATCACGGGCCAAAAAAGAGAGCTTGTGGGCCAAATGTGGCTCATTGGCCACAAGTTGAAAACTCACCGATAAGCAGCATACGTATTCTTCTTTTGCTATTAATTTCCAAAGAGCTTTTCTTATTTTCATTCCAAAGAGCTTCAGTTAGAGCAGGACAAATGTCTTCTTGGTGACAGTTTAATTAGCTTCTACCACTTTAAATGTGTCCCTGTTCTCCCAGGTGATCCTGCCAGCTTTCTTCGTGTGCCTGTCTCTGATCTTCTCCCTCATCGTCCCACCATTCGCTGACTACCCTAGTCTGGAGCTGCAGCCGTGGATGTATGGTCTACCTCAAACCACCTTTTATAGGTAATAGCATTATTAACACGTTACTGATGGGTTTTGCTTCTACTTTTTTTTTATCCACCCCATTTTTTATTTTTTTTGAAAGAGTCAAACTTAAACCTATTGCAGGTTTTATAATATTATCTCTCAGCTACTACCAGAACAAAAAGTAGCTGACAATTTGTCAAATTAACTGAATTATAGCCATTTTAATGTTAACTATTAAAAAACAATTTAGAGTCATTTATCTCTGCATTAGAATTAATTGAAAAGAAAATGTCACTGCCTAGCCACCAAAAGATCACACACTCGTTTCGTTGGACCACCTTTAGCTTTGTTTCCACAAGCTTCTGCAATGTCACAACATTTATTTTCTGTCCAGCGTTGCATTAATTGTTTTGCCAAGATCTTGTATTGATGGCTGTAGATTTGCACAGACTTCTCCAGCACATTCCAAGGATTCTTAATGGGTTTCAGGTCACGACTCTGTGGTGGCCAATCCATGTGTGAAAATTATGTCTCACGCTCCCTGATCCACTCTTTCACGATGTGAGTCTGATGAATCCTGGTGTTGTCATCTTGGAGCATGCCTGTGGCATCAGGGAAGAACTTACCCATTGATGGGGTAACCTGGTCATTCAGTATATTCAGCTGAACTCATTCTTTGGGCACATAGAGTTGCTGAACCTAGACCAGACCAAGTGTAGCAACCCCAGATCATACACTGCCCCCACAAGCTTGTACAGTAAGCACTGGACATGATGGGTGTATCACTTCAGCTGCCTCTCTTCTTACCCTGGTGCACACTCCCCACTGAGCTTCCAGTTTGTAATAATGCATTAAACAGTTCTTAACCTGATTTTAGTAGTTTCAGTAATCTCCTTAGATGTTTTCTCTGCTTGATGCATGCCAATAAATAGACACTTCTGAAACAGATTAACATCTTTTGTGTCTTTCCACATTGTTATTTAAGAAACGAGAAGCTCCTCACTGCATCATTTAGGGTTCAATAACTTGTTGCCACCTGAAACAGGATCACACATGCAGTTTAATGGAAGGCACTTACTTATTGTCTGAGTTAACTCTTTTTTTTTTTGGCCAAGCTGAGTATTACTCACACGCCTACCGTGTTTTTTGGACTATAAGGCACACTGTTTTGTTTCACTTACAGCGAAACAAAACAGTGTGCCTTATAGTCCCAAAAATACGGTAGTTCTTGGCGCTCTTACAGCCACATTTACTTAAGTAACACAATTAATATGCAGCAGCAAACACTTTACTGAGTGAATGTTGTGTTTCTGTGGTATATACAGGATTACAAAGGAATATGCCACGCTACGATGTGCAGGTCTAATGGGATGAATAAGAAAGACAAGCCATGATGGCTACATCAATTTATAACTGAAGCACCACAAATATGCTTTAATACCAGACAGAGTGAATTTATACCATAATATTAGGTAATGTATTGTTATTGATATGTATTGTTACTAATACTTCTTTGCAACATTCATTGTCATGTGGTATGTGTAAGTACATGTGTTATATGTGACATTTTAAAGTTGTTACATTCATGATACTAGGTTTTGGGCCTGACCAAAGAATTTATAGATAAATACATCAGACAGAGTTAATGTGTTGTTTTCTTCCAGCGTAAAGATACAAGGCCAGTACAAGAAGGATGGAGGTGTGATGACAAAAACACAACAACAAATGGCATCCATACAAAGTACCATAAAGAAAATACCTAGAATATGTATAGTTTTCATTTTAGAATCTCAGTGGCAAAAACAAATTAGAAACTAGCTCCTGCACACTAAACTGCTTTCAAGAGTTCTTGAATGGATTTGACTGAGAACATAAATGCGACACAAACAATGCCACTAAAGCTAAACTTGGGTAACACGTTGAGTTTTCTAAGAAATTTCCTCCACGCGTTTACGCTCTTCACTTTAAACCTGCAGCGATCTACATTGTGAACGACTGTTTTGTGTTTCTCTTTAGTTGTTTTATTTAAAAGTCTTATTTAATGAGACCTTTCACTGCAAGTAGTTTGCCCTTCAAAAGAAGTTCAGCTAAGGCCTTATTTCTATAGCGGCAGTGTTCATTAAAACATCATCTCAGAGTGTTTCACAGAAACGGTAAATAGGGTTAAAACTAGGGCGGTTATTGTGAAGTTATACAAAGAAAAATTTATGTTGTGTTAAAATATAAAAAAAAGTAGATGCTTTTTAAGTTTTTTTTTTTAATGAGTTATGCTTTAGCTTAAAGGTCATTTTTGAAAAGTTCTAAATAAGTGTTAGTCTTTGTTAAATAGATTTAAATGAAATACTTAGTGTTCCTTGAAGAAACATTTTTTGTCTGCTTGATTTTTTGCTAGTGTTTTAGGTCGTTTTCACACCAGATAGTCCGGTAGACTCGGTTCGGTTCGGGACCAATATCCATGAGCTTTTGTTTACATTTGAGCTGGTGCGTTTGCATTCACACTGCACTGTGCAGTCGAGTCAAACCGTTGAACAAACCTATTCCCCCGCTCGCCTGTGGGGGCGCTGCACCAAGAACTACTGAAAGAAACGACACAAAAACCTCTGAACACACGTCTTCTTCTTCTTCTTCTGTAAATAAAAATAAAAACAAAGTGGCATCAAGTTTTAGCAGTTTTAGGAGTTATATTTTGTCATTTTTCAAAAATGGACTTAGCATGAGCAGAAGATGAGACAGAAGACCATGGAGAATATTGTTTTTCCACACAAGGCAGCTGATGGCTCCATATAAGGTCAGAGAAATGCGTGTTTGTTTGGCCTGTGGAGCGAGGCCGGTCTGTTTACATTCACACTGTACTCGAACCGCGCTGGAGTTCGCTTCTACCGGACCGAGACCTAGGTTTTAGCCCGGGCCAGAGTTCGCCTTTTTGTTCCGTGACAGAGTTCGATGGTGCGTTCACACCTCCCCAAACGAATCGGTCTTTCTAGGAAAACGAGCTAGAGTTCGATTAAAGCGGACTAAACAGGGCTAGTGTGAATGCACCCTTAGACTAACATCTTTTGTTGAAAAATGACAAGTATTCGTTTTAACCAAACATAAAAAATCTGCAATGTCACACAATGTAAGACATCAGTTTCAGAGTTTGGGTTGTGAATGACTCTCAGCTACTACCACACCGAATTTTAGTTCTGTTTCTGTCAAATTTACCAAATTATACCAATTTTTGTGTTTTCTAAGGTTGTTGGGCTGTGGTGACCATCTTGAATTGAGTTTACTCCAAAAGCTAATCAGTTGTAGATGTCCATCCAATGATCATTTACTGAAGGATTCATTTAAATATGTCCGGTGGTTCATGAGATATTTACGGTGGCCCTGAGATGTAAATAAACAGCTTTTGAAAAAATGAAATTACATTTGAAAAAACACAACGAAAACAAAGAATGAAATTACATTAAGCCAAAGAGTAAGTGGCCAAAGTGGAAGTGGTGAAAAGACGAACTTACATTTGAAAAAAAATGGAATTACGGGGCAGCACGGTGGCACAACTGGTAGAGCTGCTGCCTCTCAGCGAGCAGGTCCCTGGTTCAAACCCCGGTCCAGGGGCCTTTCTGGGTGGAGTTTGCATGTTCTCTCCGTGCATGCGTGGGTTTTCTCCGGGTGCTCCGGTTTCCTCCCACAGACCAAAAACATGCATGTTAGGCTGATTGGTAACTCTAAATTGTCCCTAGGTGTGAGTGAGAGAGTGAATGGTTGTTTGTCTCGTTTGTCTCTATGTGTCCCTGTGATGGACTTGCGACCCGTCCAGGGTGTACCCCCGCCCCTCGCACAGTGATTGCTGGACATGGGCACCAGCAACCCCCGTGACCCAAAATGGAATAAGCGGGTAAAGATAATTGATGGATGGATAATGAAAGGAGCATAAAAAGTTGAAATTATAATAAAAAGACCTAAATTAGCAAACAAATAGCAGAATAAAGCTAAAATTAGCAGAAAGACACCTAAAAAAAGTAGCAGAAAACGCAGAAAAATATTTATTTAGGAGATTGAAGCTGAAAGAACATAAAAAGATGAATTTATCAGAAAGAAGCTGAAAAATGCCTGAAAAGACTGGAATGAGCAGAAAGAAGCCGAAAAAAGCGGAACCAGAACAAAAGCTGAAATGAGCAGTAAAACGTTTAAAACAACACAACATGTGAATGTTGTGCAGAGCTCCTTTCATTTTAAATGAGAAAAACATGGCTGAAAAATATGAATATTTCAAAAAGTAAAAAATGCACAAATGCCAAAAGTCAAAGTGGGAATGTTGTGAATGAGCTCAACGTTTTCATAAAACCCTTAAAATTGTGGAACGATTTACACGCGGAAAAACATATAGAGCAAAAATGAAATTATAATTATTGACACAATAAAATAAAAACTGCAGGACAGTTCTTTTATCCTCACATCTTTCAGCCTTCATTGTCTCAGCGTCTCTTTCTGTGAGCCATTCATTAGTTCCACCCTTTCGCCGTGTATTTGCACAAGTCTTCATTTCAGAGCTATCCGGTAGTTTTATTATCTTAAATAACACAGCAACCCAGCCATTATAAATTGCAAAACAGATGGCTGCACATAATCCATTTTTTTACAAGCGGGCCACTTCGGGCGTTCACAGTGGTGGCCGGGAAATGGCCGTGTGACCTTCATGGAGGCAAACCTAAATGAGACGATGAGCACTGTATGAATCCAAACAGCGGGCTGGGCTGTGACCACGGCTGGCTCAACGCCATCAAGAGGGTTTTTTTTTTTTTTAATCCTGCTTTAACTCCCACAGTGTCCCTAGTGTAAAGAGCCATAGGTGTGGTTGAGTGAATGGGACAATTGTTTGAGGCCTGGAATATAAAACTAAGATTTTGTATTTACTTAATGTGAACATACTCTGGATAATTTGGTTCCATGAAGTATATGACCGGACCAGTCATGACCTGGATGAACATTGTTGGATTTTATACCTGGATTATTGAACATGAATTTTGGCCACAGGTGTAATTCTTCACAGTGCCACTTTCTTCCTTGATTAACCAAGTAGCTTGCGATAGATTAGTTGAAACTTCGAGGTTTCACAATATGCGGAAACAATTTTTATTTGCCCATCGAAAGGCGGACGTATTACGGTACAGTCTCCGTCTGTTGTTTGTACGTTAACGTTCTCTTGTCCTGCCCGTAACGTCGTATCTGCTCAAGACAATTTAACACAATTTTATACACAGCTGAATCATCACTAGACTGAGTGTTGTCTATATTTTTCATCAACCCATTTCTAAGGTCACAAATCAAGGTCAAAGGTTATACAAGGTCTGTGCTTGTCCCACCCATAACCTCTGATCCACTCAAGATAATTGAACAAAACTTGATACAAATATGTACCATCACTAGACAGCATATTATAATCTGTTCATCACCCCAGCTCTGAGGTCAAGGTCACAAATCAAGGTCAAATATTATACAAGATCTTTGTTTGTCTGGGCTGACACATTAAGTTTGTTGGCAGGTGTATAATGTACCGTATGCAGTACTCTTTTTGGAAATTACAATATCAGCAATATCATCATAATATTAATACTGATTCTACTTTTTTTACAGCAAGGACTTGCAAGAGAACGTGGAGGTGTCCAAGGTGGTGGAAACGTTGGTGAACAACCCTGGGTTTGGGACACGATGCATGACTGAAGATCCAATACCGTAAGTTTTCTGGGGTTTACAAGAAGGATGTACAGAAGGACTCCGGCTACGACTCGGGTTCTGACCGGATTCAATCAAACTGTGAACCCTTGGTGATAAGAAGTTACACACCTGTGTTTGTGTCTTATCCAAGTCCTGCTGCGAACTACTTTTATGTTTTGAAAAGAAAATGTACTGAATACCTTAAAAACATTTGAGAGGGAAAGTCCTATAAATAAGCATTCAGTAAATCTTGATTAATGAGTATGTGTTTAAAAGGAAGAACTTTGAGTGTAAACATCAAAGTTCATGCTCAATAATCCAGGTAATAAATCGGGGAAGGTTCAGTCACGTCCTCTGGACGGTTTCTTTTTTTGTTGAAACGTTTCAGCCTTCAACCAAAGGACTTCATCAGTCCGAGGAGCCACAACAAACTCAGTCCTACAAGCAGCACACTCACATGTTGGGCCAAATAGTTAGCTGTGATGAGATGGTTTGGAGTCCACCCTCTCCCCTGTCGACTCCTCTGAGGCAGCCATGGCCAAAGTGGTTCAAAACATCCAAGAAAATCCAGAAACCAACTTATCACCAGCAAACTGGTTGGTCCACTATGTGAGTGTGCTGCTTGTGGGACTGAGTTTGTTGTGGCTCCTCGGACTGATGAAGTCCTTTGGATGAAGGAGGAAATATTTCAACAAAAAAAAGAAATCGTCCAGAGGACCTGACTGAACTTTGTTGGATTTAGAGTTTAAAGTTGTGTTCATTATTGCTTTAAACTATTTAAAAAATATTAACATTAACTAAAATACTTTTTCTGTAACTATAAACAATAAAAAGGAGGCCAGTTACCGTAGATAATAAAATAACCAACGTGTTTTTCCGTCGGTCTGCGGTCCTATCCTCATCTAGGTTCACGAACTTTAGGGAGTGACCAAAAGAAGGAGATCTGAGAAACAGGCGGTTGAAGTGAGTTTCCTCCGCAGGGTAGCTGGACTCTCCCTCAGAGATACGGTGAGAAGTTCAGTTATCAGGGAGGGACTCGGAGTAGAACCGCTCCTCCTCCACATCAAAAGGAGCCAGTTGAGGTGGTTCGGGCAGCTGGTAAGGATGCCCCCTGGGCGCCTCCCTAGGGAGGTGCTTCGGGCAAGTCTGACTGGGAGGAGACCCCAGGGAAGCCCCAGGACACTCTGAAGAGACTATGTCTTTCGGATCATCTGGTAACGCCTTGGAGTCCTCCCAGAGGAGCTGGAGGAGGTGGCTGTGGAGAGAGATGATCATTTTCTCATTTTGTAAATTAGAATT